TCCTTGGAAGAGGGGTACAAGATGGTTGCACAGGTATGAATGCAATTCAGAGTATTTCTAGTTCACTTTGCTACTCTAGTTTGTTACGCTATACTCAGAGCAGCTGAAGGTGAGCCAGCCCTGCATCTTGCAGCGAAAGAGACCAAACAGGTACTGGGCTGTACTTGCAAAAATGTAGCCAGCAGGCCAAGGAAAGGGATTCTTCCTCCACTCCACCCAGCATTTGTCAGATCATATCTGGCGTACACTGTGTTCAATTTTGGGGTCCCTGGCACAAGACAGACAGATGCCCTGGAAGCTTGAGCATGTGGTGTACAGGAAAAGACCCAGACAACCAGCTTGGTTCAGCCTTAAGGAAGCAAATGGGGAAAACCTTACTGATGTCTTCAGCTACCTATATGGAAGATGCAGAGAGGGTAGAGCTAGGCTCTTCTCAGAAATGTGACAGGACAAGAGGCAATGAACACATGCAGCTCCATGAGAAACATGTCTTAGACAGCTGAGAAAAAGTTTTCACCTCATGGGTGGTCAGAGTGGAACAGGGACCAGAGTAACGGAACCTCTGTCTCTGGAGACATTCAAACCTCAGCAGGACAAGGTCACAGCACCATGATCTAGTTGGACCTGCTCTCAGCAGCAGATTATAGCAGAGACATCCAGAGGTTTCTTCCAACACAAGTTACTCTGTATTTCTACACAGCTACAACTGGCAAATGGCAAAGACAACAGACAGATCTGATCTTCCCTTACTGCAGTTTTGTGATCTGTGTTGATCACAGTGATAAACTATAATTTGTAAGTCTACTTTAAACCTCAGAAACAAAGATGGAACAACCAAACAGCTAGAATTTAATCCTTAGATGCAACTTGAAGAAACAGCTTTTGATCCTCTATGGAAAGGTATAGAACTATTGCTAGATTAAATCCTTGCCATCCAAGATCCCTAAACCTAGGTACAGCAGGGAAACGTTTCTCCTTTCACCCTACATTTTGACATTCATTTACACACCAGCACACATCAGAGTGATACCAAATATCTCGCTGGTAAGCCCCCTCGCTAACACAGATTAAGAGCTCTAATATCAATTTAACATCCCCAGCAGCCAGTGAAGTGTTCCACACGCTGTAGGAAAGCTCAGGTCAGACGCTCACTTACTTAGAGATTGGTCCCTAGCCTTCTGTGCTTCAGGTTTTCTTTTATTGCTGGTATTTCCCTACTGAAAAGGGGGAAAAAAAGTAGAAGTTAACTCTGAATGACAGTTCTAAGTCAGTACACAAGACAGATGTCTAAAACACGCAAAACCAAGTTTACTCCCCCCCAAAACCTGAAGCCAGACCATGACATTAATTGCAGAAGCACTATAAAGGCTTCAGCTGATATTTAACTATTTCTTTCTCTTACAAAGCTTTGACATGTCTCTGAAAACACACTCCTGAACAAGCTGTGCCTGACAGTAACATATCTAAAACACAGGATGAAAACTAAATACAGGGTGACCAAATTGTCCTTTCTCAACCTGCTCTGGAGCTCCATGTACCCCACAGGTATCTTCATCCTTGAGTCCTTGGGCAGAGCTTAATGCAAGGTGCTGCTCCTGTCAGTGGATAAAAATGACTGGATATGCTACAGGGGATGGTGTTAATGGTATGGGGGAAGGAGGAATATGGTAAAAAAAAAAGGAGTTCAAAAGAATATGAGCTAATCATGAACTTAAATTCTGTGCTCAGCACTGTGTTATCACTAAATCAGATGAAATTGATCTTGCCGTAAAAAGCTTCCTGTATCTCAAGGTCAAGACAGGACAATAACTAAGGAATTCCAGTGGAATAAAACCAAGAACAACTGCATTCAGCTTTTGCAAACTGAGGCAACAAAAGAGATGGAAGTAAAATTAGTCTGTTATTACCTAAGATGAGAAAAACAATATCAATAGGAAATGGTGAAAAGTGAATTCACACATTAAAAACTCAGTTTTAAAGTTTTCCCAGGTTTAAGTTCTAGCAGATTAAATATTCAACATGCCTTGACCTTCATTATATAGACAGAAGAGGCAGTGAAGCTTCCTACTCCTCTCCCCTCTCCCTCAATTAATATAATTAACCAAGGACATGAGATACAACTTTTTAGGCAATAAAAACAAGCTAGGTGAGCAATTTAAGATAATCCGAGTACTGCATATAACCATTAAAGTAATATTATCTTTCTAGTTGAAGGCTTAATTCTACCATCACATTAATTTTCATTCTTCTGCAGTGCTCAAAACTGAAAGCCTAGGGAATCAGGAGTGATATCTAAAAAGAGTGGTGCTGTCTTCCAGACTGAGCAGTGTGTTGAAAGAATTAATCTGGAGCCCTGAAACAAGATCCTCAACGGGATTTAGTAAGAACTGTTATTTTACCTATAGTATCAGGAAAGGATATAGGCAATGTATAGGCAAACCTAAAAAAAAAATAAAAAATTTCAAGTGCCATGGCTACTTCTTACAGTAGCAGGGAGATGCAGCAGACTGACAAAGCAAAAATGCCCTGACAGGATGAACTGACAAGTTCCTGGCCCCTCAAGCAGAATGGGTGGGTGAGCAGATCAAAGATATTTCCTTATCCTCAACTCCCATTTTAATCAGCAGGCACTGTGAGCCACAAAAGGAAGAGTGAGAAAGTGTTGTTCTGTTCTAAATACTGAGGAGGCAGATCTATACACTCAACCTGAAGATGGACTTTCAAGAGGTATCTATAAAGCAGCAGCTGGTGTATGAGAACACCTTGATATAGCTGATGTATTTCTATGGTGCTGGACCAGTTTACAGAAGTTTAGGGCTTAATTATTTAGACTTTCCAAGAGAAAACCAGCAGTAAAGAAAAATCCACAAAACCCTGTCAGCTTCACATCCTGAAGAGTATTTTGCTGGTTGCTCATCTTGCACTGACTCACACAATGTACTGGACACCCAAAGACTCCTCTGCTCCAGGAAAGCTCCCTAGCCTCAGGGCTGTTTCAGAGGCATGCCTGTATTCAAACCAGCAATCACCTGAAAGTAATGATTAATCAGAGATAAACTATGCTGCACTCTCACTTGTGCATTCTTCCTTGAAGTAGTCCATTTTATTGAATTCCAGCTTTGAAAAGGCTACAGAAAAGAGAGCTAATCTGCTTGCTTTTCCGCTATGCCGCACCTAGCCTTCCCAGCAGGAAAAGCGACAGCTGGAGGCTGGCCTGCTTCAATTATTTTGTGGTCTGTAACAATCCTCCTTCACAAAATCATTTCAAAGTACTAAAATCCAATCTAATAACTTGTCACTAAAGGCACACACCTAAATTATGAAAGTCTAGCTGTAGATAAATGAACTGTCCTGAATATTTTGTGTGCCTGTAACTGCAGAAAGTAACCACAAATCTTAAGACCAAGAAATTCTTTCCTTCTTTCAGAAATGTTTCTCACAAAACAATTGGCTTGAGAAAAAAACATGGCTGGGTTTTATTCAGGTGGTGGGACTTGGCTACTGAACAGGCTTTGGCAAAGAGAAAGGAAACCTAGGAAACAAGTGATGCCAGCTGTTACCTTGCAGATTTCCTTGCCCTCCCCAAATTCCAGCAGATATGGAATGGTTGTGCCTTACCCTCTAATCCTCCCAGACATACTGACAGTATCATTTACTGCACATCAGGGAAATCTTTCTGCAACATGTTTATTCAGTAGGCTCGCCTCTCTGCTCTGTGATAGCACTGTAAGACTGTGCAAGACAGCAACCTGACAATAAATCAGTACAGATAGGGAGATAAAGAGGGATGGGATGTGCCTTTGATAGGTTAAGTCTCTTTTGCCATTACTAAAGCCACAATATTTTCTAAATTAAAAGCTCTCTGCTGTGCTGCCAGAAGACACAGGAGCCAAAGGGACTGCAAACAGGTGTAAAACCAAAGGGGTTAGCTGGAGTCTACGCAGAGGCTGATTTCTTTGCCAGTCACAAGGTGTTCCACATGGCTGAAATGACTCAAATCTGCTTTGCTTGTAAGACATACTTGTACTACATGAAGAGTCTAGAATAGAATTTGAGTAAAAGCCTCCTCCTACTGGCCAACCAAACAGTCCTCAAGGGAGGAGAGATGGGAGAGGGAGCCAGGAAATAAAAGGAAACCTCCCAACTCCTTCTGGAAAACTTGCTTAAGACCTCCAGTGACTTCTGTCACAGGGAAAATAAAAGGCCTGTTTGCCTTGGCCTCTACACATTTACAGAATTTGTATTAAACACTGAACTCACCCCAGCTCTCAACTCCCCTCAGAAGAATAACACGGGAGCCTTGCTGTTAGCCATGGCAGAGGATCAGTAACCCTCTTACCCAGCCCTGGCCTCCTGACCATCGTCCATCTAGTTGAGGACCACACTACTAACAGGAGGTGAAGGCAGACTGCTTTAGTGCAAAGACTAAACAATATTTTCTCAAGTTCAGAGACAATAGCAATGTCTTCACCTACAGTGCTATTAAAACCTAGTGCTCCAGCACAGGATGTGATCAATCAAATGCAAACAACCTTTTGGAGACACCCCTCCCCATGTGATCCTCAGTCATCAAGATACCTTGGCTGTTGTCCAGAGCAAGTGATGAATAATTGTAAGAAATCACTGAAGGTACAAAACCCTTTGTTTTTAGTATCTTTACAGGAACTAAATTAATACAGTTCCTCTGTCATCTTATTCTCCCTCACAGGGAATGGAGAGAAATTGCATCTGGAAATCCAGGTGGTTGAGCCCTGTAACTTTTCCTCCCGAATCGCCACATAAATAAACATTGGTTCATATTCAGAATTTTTCTGTTTTAAGAAACAAAATCATTTGCCTTTTTCTTTAAGCTTGGTACCATGTTTCTTTAATGCTGTTGTTGTGAGATACTGCACCCATCTTTCAGCATTTGATTGCCTTAGGTGGCCTTTTTAAAATGGTCCTATGGTTCAAAGCTCTGAGAAGCACAGTATTAAGGCATAGAAAATGAGGGGTTTTCTTTCCATGGAATAGACTGTGTTTGTGTTACATTCCTTTAGATGCTGAACTGCAAATCCCATCCCCTTGGAGCCAAAAGGGGAGAAGATAGTTAAAAAAAATCCCAGAAGTCATACAATCAGTTGTCTGTATTTTTTTTTGAATATTTTTTTTAAAAAAAGGAAAAAATATCCCATAGGTAAAGACAGAACAGAGTTCCAGGTATGGGTTCTTGGGAGGGGTTTTCCATTCTTTTTGGCACCTTGTGATTCTAACAGCTGTTGACCTCCCATTTAAAAATCTGACTTGAAAAAGAGCTCTTTATTCACTATGTTTTGAGCTGTTACAGTTGTGGTTTGTTTTCTTTGAAAGCTGCTTTATGGGCTCCTGCCATCCCTTGCCCACCCCACATCACTCCAGCTCCTCCCACCGGTTCTTCATTCACTGGTTGCCTGTCCTTGTGGCACTGTAGATGTGATGACTCCAGTTTGGGCTGGGACTGCTCCACTGGACTCTTCTATTCGGGGTCTTTTGACTTCAGGTTCACTGGAAGAGGCTGCCGCTGTCTCTTCGGTCCCTGGCTCACATACCCGGCTGACTACAACAGGAGTGGACGAGCTGGCCTGGGCCGCAAGAAGCTGCAATGGATTTGTAAGAGCTAGGAAGCAGGATGAGAGAGAAAAAGAGAATTAATGTGATGAAGTAGCACAAGTGTTTGCTATTCCAGAAAGCAAGTAAACAAAACACCACAGTCAAACACAATAGCTGGCACATACTCAAGTGTTACTTTCAAGTCCATTTTGACAGGCTTGCCAGCCTCCTCTCTTCCTCTCCCCACACAATCTCAGCTTCAAGCAAGTTTACCAAACTGGTAATAGGCCCTTTCATAGAAGAACTTCCCTTTTCCTATCCCATTGTCAAGCAAGCATTAATCTCCAGAAGAGGAGGATCAATCCCCCATTAAAACTACAGCACAACATCTGTGTGCTGTGCCTTCAATTTAGAGGGCTCTCTTTTAGCCCTGCTTGCACAGTAAGAACAGCCAGTCTGTTGGGAAACTAGATTACAATGCAAGTGTTGAGCATACTGGCATCTCACTTGTAAAAAGGGCAGGAAAGAGCTTATCCCAGACAACCAAATGTGTTCCCATCAGAACATAGGAATTTTTGGCTCCCAATCTTGTATTCCGGTCCTGACAAAAGCTCCCACCCTTCCATTAATAAAAGTGGTGAGAAAAAAAGATGATTTAAGTAACAACCCTCCGTAAAAATGTCTACAATTTCTAGTTCCAGACAGAGAATGTGCTTACACACTGGCTTTGGCACACAGCACTGCTTGGAAAACAAAACACATGCAGTTTTTGGACTGTGCATCAATCAGAGAAGCAGCCAAAGGGGACTCAGGAGACAGCACATCCTCTGCCCTCCAGACTGATTTGCAAAGGATGGAATGACAGAACATTAGTGGCGTGTTCATTGTGAAGTGCATCAAAAAAGGAGCCCTAGGATAAATAAACAAAGCAAACAGAACAAAGGCTCTCAAAGCCCAGCAACTTCTACCAAGGCATGGGAAGGAGGCTGCAGAGTATCAAGAGAATGATAAAAAAATAGGGTAAGGATGAGGGCAGTCACCAATTACAGTTCAGTGACTTAGGAGAACCTAAACCATGCAGCTGAAGAGAAGTTAACCTCGTACAGACAAGAGTCAAGAGATTCAGGCTCTGTTTGGTAAACCAGAAAATTCGCTAACACAAAAAAAACCTCAGATGCAACTGGAATACTTTCCAGTTTGAAGAGAGCTAGAAAAGTTTTGGAGATATTAGAATATCTTAACATAAAAGTGTTAAATAAAAAAAACTGATTCTACATTAGATGAACACTATTACTGGGTAGCAGCAACTCCACTTACAGATGTATTTAATATCTTAACATCCTAGTTGCATAAAAACCTTATTGCTATCATTTTTTCATTGCTCCAGTAAGATTCCTGCAATTCAAGTGCAAGCTGGGCAATACTGCAAATAGACACGGCAGAAAACTCTGTAGAAATATTCCTACCTTCATGAAAGCCATCAAAATCCCAGCGCCCTTCATTTCAAACTCCCCATAAGCACCAGCCTGGGACAGAGGTGCTTCGCACCACATTGAAAAGGGCAGTAAAACCTGGATATTACCATTCCCAGGTATCATCCTTAACTGAACAAAACCTGAGGTGCTGAACAAGCAGTAAGAGGAGACTGCCAAGACATAGCTAGTATGGGATTTTAAAGAATCGGGCTTGACAAATGACTTAACACATCCTGTATATAAAAAAATTCCACATTCATTCACCTGATGAAGTAGATCTTATTTCTCTCAGGCTCTAAGACCTTAAGATAGGAAAGTATGTTATTTTCTTAATACTCTACGGAGTCATATTTCACAAGATCTAAAGAGCACCATGGAAATTTTATTTGGCATGCTGAAAGCAAAGGCTGCTTGTCAGAAGAAAACAAATGAAAACAGGCTCTACACAAGAATCACTAACACTTTCAACAAGTAACCCTCTAAAGGTAGAGAGTGTAAGCAGTAATAAAGGCATAGCCAAGGACAAAGGAAAGACACTGGACTTTTCAGAAGCAGTGATAGGTGGCAAAACTTTTCCACTAGGCAAAAGAACCAAACAGAGGTGGACAGAGGATATCTACCCCTGACATTTACAGCCACAGAAGTTGACCAATTGGAATACATTTATAATTGGACATATGGAATAATTTGATAATCAACTAAGAAGAGAAAGCTCTTACAGCTTTACAACCTAACCGCTGAGAAAGCAATCAAAAACCAGGAAGCAATGGAAACAGAGCCTACCGTAAGTGCTGCTGGTGATGCTGTTGGTGGGGACGGCATGTTTCCCGTTCTGAGTGACGGCCCGCACGGGGAGCTGATGCTGTCCAATGGTCACTGGAGCTGCCTGCTGAAGGATCGTGACTGTCTGTCCTGGAACAGCCTGTGCCATTTGACTGGCGACTGTCTGAATAACACGGCTGGCTGTAGGTATCGTGGCAAAAGCGATTGTTGGCTTTTCATCCATGCCTGTTTACCAGCAGAACATACAACAATCATTTACTACTCTGGCTTAGGAGAAGGCTTTATTCTCATTAACATTTTAGGAGTGATGCATACCCTAGGATTACAGATGTGAAAATAACTCAGCACCACAAGAGATCAGGGATGAATATTAGAAAACACTAAAATATATGCTATCAACATTAAGAAACTTTTTCTTACAGTATAAGCCACTCAGCCAAAAGAAAAAACAAACATGATTATAAACCTGACCCCTGTCTTAAAAAGGGATTATCTCCCTTATTGGTACATTATAGCTGTGATATGGACAGCTGTCACCCTTACTTTGTAATTACAGGCAAATTGGCCTGACTCTCAACATGACACAGCAGGAGACGGCATTAAGATCTTAAACGATGCCTGGAGTCAAAAGTCCGCAACAGCTTGCTGTCAGGTCTGCAACAGCTTGCTGTCAGGTCTGCAACAGCTTGCTGTCAGGTCTGCAACAGCTTGCTGTCAGGCCTGCACGCAGGTGGATTTAAAAGGAGGTCTTCCCACAACTGGAAGCTTTTGTCAGCTATGGAAGTACAGGAAGAAACCAGGATGGAGGAAAAAAAAAAATACAAAAAAGGAGGGCTGAGTTCCTCGATAGAGATAACTGTTTGAGAGCACTCAACCATCTCTCCTACTCCCCAGCACAAGTAACAGGCCAATTCAGCAGGTATGTAACAGCTATGGGACAGGCTCCTGCTGGACATGCAGGAGAGGAGGGCCACTCTTCCCTTCCAGGGCTTCTGTGGGTCTCAGAGCAGAGAAGGCAGGCAGGAAGAACAAGCTCATTAGTCCTGAGTCCTGTAGGAAGAGAAGACTTCTCTCATTTTAGCATTAGAAGACAAAAAGAGTGGCACAAACATTGAGCTGAGACCTGCAGAGGCAGGCTGATGGGAAATGGGGAGAGAAGAGGCAAGGAAAGACGGGAGATTAGTAAGGAAAATGGAGCAACCAAGAAAAACAAAGGGAAGGTAGAGACTAGAAAAGGATATGAGTAGGAATAAGAGTGGGACAAGTAGGGAAAAGGGAGCAGGTGACAGATAGGCAGCTGCAACTGTTACTGCTTCAGGAACATGTATGGGATCCAGACAGGAATTTCTAGTGAGTGAAACTCCAGCAGGGTAACCAGTGCTGAACTAAAAATGCCAATGGTCCTGCTATTGCTGTAGGGGAAGGTCTTTATCAATTTTTTTTCTTTCCTTTAGAGAAGAACTATTGCCCCACTGCCCATATAAAAAGCAATCAGAGTAACCAGTCTTGCTGCTGATACAACACACATCTGTCTTGTAGCACTAAGCCCTTCTGAAACAGCAAGCAGACAAGGTGCTGTCCGGATGACAGCAAGAGAACAGTTTAACTGACTAAATCCCCCAAGGCTGGTATTTCCAGCTCAGGAAAAGAGAGGCCTTTGTCGTAACTGGTTTTGGAAGACTGCTTTAATGGAGCACTGTCTGCACTCCCAGAAGCACATGCTTTCCTCTAGGAATCCAGGCCTGCAGAGAAGGATGGCTCAATGATTTATTTACAAGGCCATCCTGAAGCAGACAGTTTCAGCCTTTCCCAGGCCACCTCTTTTGTCTAGAACACACACACATTTCCACAGCACATCCAGCTGACCAATACACAGGCATAATACTGATATTGGGGACAATACACATATTTAAAGCACTGCATGTTTTTTCAGCATCCAAAGTATGTTAGATTTGTTGCCCACAGGAGACAAGGCAGCACAGTTGCCCCGCTCAGTGTTGGTGACATCAAATGGATGAGCTCTTCCTTGGTTTAAGTTTTACCTGGAGAAACATCTTTTATTAAGGTCTAAGCACCCAGTGAGTGCTTGACCACCCATCCCCAAGGCTTGCTCAAGACTTATTAGCAGAGTAGCAAGGGAGGTGAAAAGCTACCTCGGTGGTCACCAGCTAAGTCCAATACTGCTCCCGCGGCTTCATGAGCTCCTCCTGCTGTGCCCTGATTTGTGAGGATGTATCCGTTTGCAGAGTTTGCAGAGGAGGTAACAACTCGGACCATTGTAACAGTGGGAGCTTGTTGAACTACGTGAATGGCATGACACGAAGGCTGTTGAGAAGTCACTATTGATGCTGGCATGTATGCGACTGGTTTTGCCACCAGAGTAGATGGTCGGGGAGGAACAGCCATAATCACTGGCTGGGCACTGACTGGAGATCCTAAACAGAAGAGACAAGCATACATGAATAGGAGAGGCAAAAAGGCCTCCATTCATTTCACCTTCAGCATCGAAAGCAGTAGGGAACAAAAACTAAGGATTCAAAAATAGTACCTTCAATCTTCTCTTTCCTAACTTACAAAAACCTTACTTGCCATCTGAGCACATTTCTGTGAACAAAAACTACAATAAGCACGAAAAAAAAAAGAAGCTTTACTTAATAAGCTTTGCCTTCTAGCTTCACCAGGAACATCAGGTCACTTACAGCAGAGCTGACAAGCAGATACTTACCTGGGCTTAAATTACCAAGGCTCTGGCCACAGCACCAGAGCTCTGCATAGCCAAGGTGATCTTACACTAATTTACCACCCTTCTGGATGAGTGAGCTACACACTGCCATGGCTACTCTACTGTCAGGTCTTTAGAACCACCTAAATCAAGGTTAGCTTGTGTTTCTAGACATTCCTTTATCTCATGCCCCCTCATCCAAAGACTAGTAAGAAAAATGGAAGTTGCATATGCATCATCAACCTCTAACAACAAAGTGGAAAAAGACTTAGATCCTCCTGTAACACACTGGCAGCAGCACTCCTGCGGTGTCCTCAGCATGGAACTTGGTGCAACTGAACAGTCACCCTCTGTGAAACAAGAGCTACTCACCAGGTGCACTCTGTGAATACCGATACTCTGGAACAGAGGCTAACTTTGACCCAAAGTCATGATCGTGTGGAATGGGTGAGCCCTCCCGTGATAGGCACTCTGGCGTCTGTAGGCCACTAGAGTGAGGGGACAGCAGGCCAGGGTGAGTCGGGGAGGCAGGAGCACTCCTGAAACAACCAGAACTGAGCGTTGGCAAGCATAGATGCATTTCAACCACAAGACAGCAGCAGAGACCAAGAATTATCTCCGGTACAGGATTCTCTAGCAGAAGGACAGCCTTTCTTCCCCTCTACCCACTATAGCCTTGCTGGGAAGAGTTGAAAGGTACACAGTAACCTCACAAATGCTCTAGTACCAAATACTGTCATATTATTCCTTGCTGAAGGAAGCTGAACCCTTCAGAGTATGCTTAGCATTTCTTTTTAAGACCCACTGCTGACAGAGAAGCTGTGAGTGCCTCATGTTCAGATCAGTTTTATAATTTCAGGCCATTCTCAAAGGATCTTCATTAGTGTTTGAGAGGGATGGGGAGAGGAAGAAAGATGCAGTGTAGATGCAAGTGTCTGGCCCCACATATGCTTACAGAGCAGCTGGTCCCCTTTCTCCCCATTGCCTCCCTCTCCAACCACTTGGTTCCCATGTGGGCACCAAACACATGAGGAATTCAACGTTTTTTTAATGACCAACATGACAAACATGATCAGCTGAAAACCTCTTCTGTTCCTCCCCCCATTTTAAAAGACAGAAAAGAAGAGGTGTGGGAACTGTGACATGAAACTGCTCCAGCTCGTGTTGAAATGCAAGTCTTACCCTCACAGCTACAGGGCTCAGAGAAAGCTGTCATTGCACACAGCTCCTCTGTTACAGCTCACCGGAGTAGCTACACAGAACACTCCCCATTGCTTCCCTGCTGGCAACCATGACCCACCTGATCTTCCCTATAGGAGAGCATTTTTAATACCACAAGTTATTCCCACTATGATCTAATCCACATCTAAACACAGCTTTCCTGAAATGAGAGATCGGCATCTGAAAACACTCACTCCAGTGATAGCTGCTTTGAATTTCTTTGAAATGATGCCAAAACAGATCTGTTATTTGATGCATTTCTGTAGTTTGCTTCTGGATTTTTTTTTTTTTTAGTAAACACTTAAGAAGTCACAACAATTTTCAGATTATGCCTCAGGACGAACTACATTACCTCTCAAGCTATAAACAGAAGTAAAGTTTGATCCCTGTGCTTCACAACAAGTTTTTGTTTTCCTTTGTAATAAGTTTGGCACAGACATGAGAGGAAGTTCAAGTTACCTGGAGGAGAGAGGCCCAAAAGGTGTTCGGAAGCAGGACACTCCTCTTTGCCTTCGTTTTCTAAATGCTTGCTCTACTAGTTTGGCTTCAGAGGCAGGGTCAATTCGCCAAAAGGAGCCCTTTCCAGGCTCCTCCTGGGAGCGTGGGACTTTAATAAAGTAACGGTTCAAGGAGAGGTTGTGCCGAATGGAATTCTGAAGGAAGCAGAAGAATGAGATGATTATTTTTGCCATGAGGAAGCATATAACAAAGACAAATAGGTTTCAACACATAGCTTGGAAAAATAAGATCCACACCATCAGAATTAGTGCTGAAGACAGAAACAAGTCACTCAACTCACACAGCTCCAAAGTCAGAGAACTGCAAGAGAAAATCGGGGGAAACATGTTAGAGTTTCTACTAACTACACTGAAAGATGGGCTTGCTTGGTACTACACCAACACCTACATACATCTGGATCCAGGCAATGCAGTGACTTTTCTGTGGGAAGCAATGAAAGCAGAGCTTTTGCTGAGGCAGGGGGAAATCACTGTCAACCACACCAGAACTCTCTCAAAAGACAGGCCTTAATCTAGGCAAGCAGAAAAAATTGCCTGAGCCTGTGCTAGCTGCTTACCTGTCAAATGATCACTGGGGTGCCCAAACATGCCCTAAAGGACACTGCATCTCATGGTAATCACAGTGCAAGGCAGCCAACATGCCCTCAGACAGCTGTCTCCAAGAAGAATCCATTATTTATGTGGCACTAGTCTAGCACCATACAGCTCTCCAGATGTTGAAAAGACTATTTATCCTTTTCATTGCACAAGCCCACCTCTGGCTGCGTGTCTGTCTTTTGGTCCAAGGGGAAGGCTCAGTAAGCCCAGGTGTGCACAAGCTCATTCCTTTTCCACTTTCAAAACAAAACAAGAGCTTTTGTAGCTGCTTTAGATGGGCTCTTCACAAGTGAAGCCTTACAATGTCACTAGTAGGGGAGGGGAAAAAGCAACTTCACCGTGCACTGAAATGCAGCTCTCTTTGAAGCAGGATGCAGCAACTAGTTTGCAAAGCACAACTCTGCTGGGCAGGTTAAGGCAGGAAGTGAATTCCACAATTAATTAGAACTGCAGGGAAAAGCCAGGAAGGCAGAAATGTATTTATTCCAACTGTACTCAAAGTGTACCAAGCAGTACTGTTCCTGACAGTTAAACACAATGAAATCAGCAGCTGCAAGAGCCTTTCCAGCTGCATTAGTGTATTACATTCAAATTACAACACCCATTTCAGAGGTGCAATGCCAAGAAAGTCTGAAAGCAGGTGGAGCTGAGGTTTCTGGAACTTTGAAAGGAGCCCTCAAGTGAACCTTTAAGCTTGATTTAGCATGTGTTAACTACATCCAAACTCTCCTATAAAACTGGTCAGATTTCCTTTAATAACACAAGGAAGGTACAGATTCAAAGTTCCCTAAGTTCCCATTCTGAGATTCAAAATTTGCAAACTGACTTAGAAAAGGCAGCTGATGCACTGGGAAAACGTAACATCTGTGGTGATTTAAGGCATTATGATTAAAAACTGGAACCTCAGTTTTAGGCAGGACATCTTCTGCTTGGACAGATCATGTCAAACAAAGACAAGGTGAAGGATTAAGCAAGATTCAGGCAAGTATCTGGGCAGAGGAGTGACTGATAGCAAGGATGCAGAAGAAAAAAGAAACAAAAGAATTAAAGACTTGACTACAGAAACAGAAGAGTTTCAGAAACCAGAGACCCCAATAGTAACACACTACATTGCCCTAGAAAGTACTTCAGAAAAAACCAATCACCTGCAAACAAACCGGTTAGCTTACATTAAACAAATTCACTCTGGGAATAGTCAAAGCAGCTGTACTCCCAGTGCCCTGTATCTTTAGTAAATGCATATCAAAGCAGATAAGCCCTGTCAAAGTACTTTAAGAGCTTGTCAGTGTTAAGTACTCACCTGCCAGCCTTTGTCAGCAGTCCTGTAATATGGATAATGCTTGGTAATGTGGGCATAGATCCCACTTAGTGTTAATTGCCTGTCCTGTGCTGAAGATATAGCCTGTACAATTAGCTGAGCATAAGAATAAGGTGGCTTGGACTCATCCTAAGGAAAAACAAAGAGAAATTTAGTCACTAAGAGAATTCCTACACTAGAGTTTACCAATGACCCAAACTAAAAAAAGCACACTGGGTAGTAGTTTTACACACGCTAAGAGAGCATCAGGGACAACTACTATCAGCATCACCCTCTTCCCTTTCACTCCTGTTTTGCACTGCCAACTCCCAATTTAGCAAAAGCATTTGTGCACAAACAGGACTATAGGACTGAGCAAGATTAAACTATCTTCTTCCCACCCCAAATGCACACATGAAAGGTAACTTCAAACTGATTCCATTTCCCACTGAATTTACCACACGTGTGTACACCAGCACAAGGAACATAATCAGGACAAGCAATTGGAAGCAAAGAGTTAAAGGGTGTAGGGTACATTCACCATTTTCAGTGTTCATGAAACTAATGCCTTCAAATCTGCCCAGCTACAAAACTTTGTTAGAAAGGTTTTATGCAAGTATGCTATCAGCTCTCCTCCCAGCAACAAGCCCAATATGAAACTTGATCCGGTCCCTTCCCTTCCTCCATCAGGATTTGTTTCATTCTAGGAACTTTAATTTGTTTGCCAAATCTCATATTCCCAGCTCTTCATATTACTTCATCAAGAACAGCCCTTCTTGTCTCAGGGGAGAATCCAATCCACAAAGAAAGCCATCTAGTATTGTGTTCCTCCACCCAGTCCCAAATCAGGTGGTTTTGGATCTAGACCTTTAACTTTGATCTGAAGATCAGCTCACCAAAATTAAATTTTATCGTTATAACTAAATTATTTTTTAATCTAAATTCCATTTGCTACTCTCCTCGTTTAACATTGCTTGACAGGCCTTCATGCTTGTTTTAAAGTCAGACTACAGATTTCTCATGGCAAGGATCTGGTTTCTTCCCCTGCTTCCTCTTTCTCTAACTGTGCTTTGCAAAACACCATTCATTAAAAAGAGAAAACAAGACTCTGAATTTTCATGCACCTCTTCTTAATACGTTCTAGATTTATCAAACAAGCAGAAAAATTATTCTTGCTTAATTAACCCTTTCATTGGATGGCTTGAATACATTTTGGGAAGCCAAGCAAGCAAAACCCATCATCTGCTACTAATAAGATGCTGGTTTGAAGGCATAGTCTCAAAACCCCAGAGAACAATGTACACAGCAACCTTATGGCCAGGGTATTCTTAGACCCCTTTTAACTATATCCAGCACTGGTAATAAACTGCCATGTCTTAATCAGTCTCCCAATGAGCACTGCTGGGTAAGTAATGTTTCTCTGAACCTTTGGGCTGTCCCCGCCAGATGCATCTGCCTGCTGTTCTGATGCTGCTTTTGCGGCATACTCTGCTGCCAGCTGCAGATCTGAGGTAATGTTGTGAACAAAACGATATCCTGAGGATCCAGCACCACGTGGACTGGCCGGGCAAGAGTTGGGAACACTGGAGAGGCAAAAAGGAAATAAAGTTATTCATTACTTCATTTATTATCAAGACACATAGTTCTCACTCTAAGGTACACTAAAGCTCCCAGGTCACTGAGAAGCAGATATACACTGGACTTATTTTTACCCCTGTGGCTTATCCAAAGCCCTGACAGATTGAGAAAAAACCCAGAGATAAAATTGGAACTTCTACAAAATCCTGACACCCCCTCCTCCCCCACGTTCCACAATCACAAGACAGAGTCTCAAAGTATTAAACAGCTCCCCTACATTTAAACAAAGCACTTAAACCAACGCAGGACTTAAAACAGCATGCACTGTGTCAAGGATGAATACCTAACTAAATAAGTAGCTTGCTATTATAACTTGTGAATGAACAACACACCGCTCCCTGTATAACACAGGTAATATTTAATCAATCCTTCTAACAGACAGGTTACATTCTTTCACAGTATCATAGTTAAAAAATCCAGTGCAGGCATCTGCCCTGAGGGTTCTCGTCTAACAAAACACAAGCTTCAGAAGATCATACCCTCATCAGTGCCACACAGCTAGAGACAGGGATTTCCTTGATTCCCCAGCACACAAACACAGCTGACAAAGGGAGCTGCAATCACTAGTAAACATCACAGAAGGCAGCTCACTCCTCAGCTTTGGCTAGCATGGGGAAAAGCCACATTCAGAGTCCCAGGGCCACCACAAGATGGCATTACAGGAACAACTACCAAGCTAAAGCTAATAAAAAGCTGCAAATAAAAGGTCGCTATAATTTGCAGCAGCACTCAAGCACACAGAAGTGAGTGCTACAAGATGAGAACTAATCAGAAAGGCTTGTCTAGGGATCACACATCCTTGATTTGGAAGGACAGGAGGAGAAGGATGAGCCTGGAAAGCTGATGTTCCCGTTTTGTGTCTCCTCCGTTCTGTGCAGTGTGGCATTGAGGGGTGCACTGCCTGAGCGGCACGAGGCATTGCCAAATCCCAGGATTACATTTATCTTCCATGTACGAGCAGAGAAATAGTGAACAAGAAAGCAAAACAACACACAGAAAATTTATGTAGCTGAACAAGCAGTTCAAATTGTACGAAGAGATGCAAATTGAAGCCCACAGCTGGGAACCAGAATTCAGTAAACCTGGCATAAACAATCCCCTCACCAAATGCCCAACAGCAGTGCAAACTCTGACACAAATAAATGCAGTGACTGATGCTCCTCACAGCACCATGCTCAATGCTGCACAAAAAAGCACAGAGCACCATCCCTTCCTCAAAAAGGCAACTGTCTAAATAGCTTCCCCGGACACACGTACACATATGGACAGAGAGAAAACAGTGAGACAGCCCTTGTTTGCTCAATGGGCAATACCTTGGGTGCATAAGCAATCCGACAGCGTAAGGAATGACCGTTTCCAACCGCAGTCCAGCCTGTAAACTGAGAAGTGCTGCTTCTCCTTGTGGAGTCTGCAAATGGCTACAGTGCTGAGCTCAGCACAACCGAGACTGGTTTCTTTTAAAAGTGAATTAAAGGATAGCAGGGCTGGGGGAAAGGGAAAAGGCAAGAGAAACATCCAGCCACAACAAACCCTTGCAATTGGAAACCCAAGCTCACCCATCTCCCATAAACTAGCCAAACAAAGTGTTGCACAGTGCTTGGTAACCTTTCCAGCACCCAGTAATAGTCCTTTGCGTTAATGGGTGATGCTATTTAGAAGCGCAGCAGGAGGTGAAGCTTTCAGGAGGTGTAAGCTACATAATGTTGATCAGCCTGTACATATAAATCTTCCTTTGCCAGAGATAAAGGTGTGTTTTTGCCTTTTCTTCCAAAAAGCAGAGACTTGCTCATGCAAGAAAATAAATCAAAGTTCGCTATTCCATGCTTTGAGCCTGCTTTGGAAATGGATAATGCGAAACCACAGAAGACTCTCCTGATGTCTTAATATTCACATGGGAAGCGGGTGTGAATTTAATTATTCTGCTATCATTTTTCAATAGCTTCTCCACATACATACTTCTTCTAATGTGTAGATAATTACAAATGAAAGCCATTTTCATACATGAAACAATGACAAACCAAAAACACAGCAATTCTTTTTATCTTTCTGTTTGGCACCCAAGCAATTATTGTAACACACGGACTAGGAATGGAGTAGGATGAAACAGGGTTTTCTGATTTTATTCTTTGCCTGCAGAAATAGGTGAACAGCAAACCACAGAGACAGCAGCCAAAACTCAGGTCAAAGATATGGAAGAGAGAAAAGTTCTCTAGTAAATCCATGCTCTGCACAGACCTGTATTTCTTTGCTTTTTAAAATAAATAAATACACCCAGTATGCCTTCAAAGATTGTCCCATGCAGTTCAGATACAAGGACTGATTAGATTCTTCAAGATCAGCAGAGCAAGTAGTCCAGTTTTTGCTGTTCAAATTTTAGCTTCTTAGGCTGATGAGTTTTAAGTATGATCTCTTGCTTTTTAAAAAAATAAAAAAATGCAAAGGGAGAAACCCTTACCCTGCAGGGCTGCGATTCTCTTGAGTGATGACAAAGCCCCTCCAACCTCAAGTGCTGTTAACATTTAGAAAACCAGGCCTTCCCAGTAGGCAGTCACTGAAGAACCTGATAGTCTCCTAAACAAGCAGCTGTCCCACAGGACAGACACAGCAGTAGCTGAGGATCTGGAAGAGTTTATTATTCCTTTACCGGAATGAAGCACTTCTGCCAGGTAGACCTGCTTCCTTCAGCCTGGATCAAACTAAGTGACATTGGTACAGAACAAACAACATGAACTTTTAGCCGCTCCACGCAACAAGACAAGGTAAGACATGCTGCTAAGTGTTCAAGTTCTCAGTCAATCAGAGGGCTCTTCAGAGGGAAGGGAGAAAGAGCTGACTACTGGAAAAAACAAGGAGGCACAATCTGTTCCCCCCTGCCAACAGGAGAGAGGAGTGAAGAAATAGTTTTACTAAAAATACCCCTCTGAGAGTTAAGTTAAAATTAAACATTAGGGCAGTCAAAAGAAAACAAGCAAACACAATGCAGTGACATCAGTTTCCTGTAGTTCCTGGAATTCTCCTCGCCACCCAGAGCTGGGGACTGACACCCCCTTTAAAAATATTACGGAACAAAGACTTTTCCCTAGAAACATCTGTTGGTGCTACAAAATAAAAATCAAGTGTACAGACAGTGATTACGATTTGTGGGATATTAGCATTGCATCAATATTTGGAGATAACTTGATCCATCTTGATATTCTAACCTTTTACTGATAAAAAGCACAGCTAGGTTTGCAATTTCACCCAGCTCTCAGACATCCCAACTTACTGCTGTGATCCACGCCTTCTGTCCATGCCCACAAATTTTTTACAAGCCTTCTAAGCTAATTTGGATTGAGCTTGTCAGTTCTGGAAGAGGGCATTCTGGAGAGGAAGCACGTGTTTTATACCAATGAAAGACACACAGAGCACGTAAGTAAACCAGCTGCAGTTACCCACAGTCTTAATCCTGTGGCACCATGGTTAATGCCTCAAGTCCCTGAGATCTTTGATACCCACTGAGGATTCAGCATCTCTACTTGAAAAACTGACTGCTGCAGTTCCCCAAATATCATACTGAGACTCAGCTTTAGAATCAGACAACCACGTGCTGAATCACAGAATGTTTTCCATTTAACGCTTAACCCTTCTTCAGCTGGAAGGCCAGAAAGATGAGGGCTGAACACGTTTGCAGTACATTCCCCCATGTAACGGGCAGAATGCCTTTTAAACACAGGGCTTACTTCTGGCTATTGAGAAAGTTCACAGGTCTCATAGCATCATGATTCTCTTTCAACTCCTGCCAACAAGATTCCAGACTCTTAAGCTCACAGCACTTTCTAGCAACAATTATGTCTTTAAACACCAGCTATTGGAGAAGATGCACAACTTACTGCATTGCTGCTGGAATGTCTGAAACCAGTTTGCTTTAGAGTGCAAAAATAGGATGTACTGCTGTATGCATGATGCATCCACACCCAGGATGCTGGGTGTTGTTCTGTCTCTTCTCATTTCAAAAAAAAGGAGGATACAGCCAGAGAAGGCACTATCAGGGATAACTGGGATGATCAGAGATAGGGAACAGATTCCATACTGGAAACAGTTTAAGACAGAAGCTGAGAAGTAAGGTGACAGAGCCTATCAAAAAAAACTCGGCCAAGAAGAGGTGTTCACCTCCTGGCCTCTTCCAGTATAGGATCTAGTGAAGACAGCTGGTACAAAAGATATAGCAGCGATAAGAGTTACAACCTTGGCAACACTGCCAAGATAGTTTTCCATCTGAACAGACAATTGGTTTTTTTTTTAAGCCCCTACCAAGTACAAAGGAAGAATCCCCATTTCTTTAAAAAATCTTCCCCACTCTCCTCCTCAAATGCAAACTGGAGGTGTGCTGCCCTGCACATCAGGATTATGTTAGAGAAATGCCAAACCTCAGACTACTCATACAGTCCATTTCATGAGCCTGCAGAAAGGGGCACCAAAAGATACAGGGATGCTTTTTACATCCCATAAGTAAGAACCAGGTCCAAGTACAGCACTTGAGCTTGCGAAACGAGCCTTTCCATGATACACCAATCAGCAATAATGGGTGAGAACCCTCTGCCGCTCTCTCCTTCCCCGGCCTAGCCCCAAAATGGTAACACAAAGAAAGGCAAGCCCTTGCATGTTGCATGTTTCAGGCAGGTTTCAGAAACAATCACAAGTGGTGAGACTGCCAAACCAAGCTGGATTTTGATGTGAAAGGAGAAATCTGAGAGCTACCCTGCCTGCTTAATGCTAAAAAAAACCCCAAAGCTGTTGAACAAGATACAGTGAGAAAAAGGTAGCTATCCACAAAAGCTGAAATTCTTATTACTTGTCTGTGCTCCAGCAGTTCCCCTCTTTGAAAGGAAGTGAGCTCACTTTAACCATGGATTCAGTGAACATTTTATACTGATCACAGGAAGAGGAAGTGCTCGTGTAGCTGGTGACATCTGCAATCTTTCCTCCAGCACATGGCTTGGCACATCTCCTCTAGCACATGGTCCATTATCTGAAGTCAACATGTGTAGGAACTCCTAAGCCCAGTACAGATTGTTGCTTTTCTTATGTGATGATGTATATGCATTACAGTAGTTGGCTTGTGGTTTGGAGACAAGGGTGATTAAAAATAATCACCGGTGTGTCCAATTGTGGGAGTTACCTGAGCCGTACATTCTGCCTGAATGCAGGAAGTAATGGTTAACTGAGACAATACAAAAGAGTCTGAAAAAAACCTGCCTTGGAGCTCTTCACTGGCTTTTCAGTTAAACGCCTAAGAGTGCTATAGGAAGAAGGCAAGCCTGAATGAAATGGAGCAGGCAATATTTATGCATCCTGTTCCAGTGGGTGAATGCATCCACTGAAGCCAGGGTTCATTCAGCTTCCCACTACAGATCTTCAGAGGAAACATACAAGTTCAGACTAAATGCTAAGTGTCCTGAAACAGTGTCACACGGCTGTCCTGGAGCCCATCACAAAAGCACTCCCTCTTCCCACACCAAGCGTGAATCAAAGCACAGCCAGCATTTGCACGTTTATTGTAACACAGCTCACACACCCACTCTTCCATTATACTTTACAGAATAAAGGCTCAATACATAATTTATCTACTACACACTCTGGGAAAGTAGTACCTACACTATACATGCATAAAAATCAGACAATGGATTTAAGTGACCTGTTAAAGGACACAAAACAAGTTGGTGGCTAAGCCCAGCTAACTACAGTTCCTGGAGTGCAGGTCTCTGAGTAATGCACCACCAGAGCATGCAGCATGTCACTGAACTATTTTGCCTTGTGAAAATCAGGAGAAAGGAGATAAGGTTTAAAAAAAGATGTAGCTTATGAAACCATGGCAATACAGCTCACATCTGATTTACTAATCAAGCTTATAAAGCAAAAGATGCAGAAAGATACCAGCTGATCTTTCATTATTCATACCACTAATTTCATTGTAAACTAGGTATTGACCCTTCTAGCAACCACTGAACATGGGCACGCATATTATGTACTAACAATTAAAATACAAATTTGTGTCCACACTCAAATATGTACCAGTTTAGCTATTAGCACAGAACCTCACCAGACACTTCTCAAGCAGTGGTTCTCACGGGTCTCTAAGGGCTCTCTCTCCTACATGTCAAAGATTTTTCTTTATCAGTTAAAAAAAAAAAAGAAAAAGACAGTGTATGTGAGCTAACTATCCATGCCCTTTCAGTCAAAAAGCCAAACAAGTACAAGACAGTGTTCAAGCCCACAGTCATTCTGGTGCAGAGATAAGCCTGAAGTAGCAGCTGTAAAATATGAATAATGGTACTGACCTCTGTAGTACAGCATTTACTTTTTCTTTATTGTAGCTTTAAAAATATATATATCCGTGAGAACATTATTGCTGTTTAGAACAGGGAAGTATATACAGAGAAATAATTTCATTTTCATAAATACTAAAAAAACCCAACCCTGAGGGGCAGTACTGGAGAGAGATGCTATTTGGAAAACTGAGTTAAATTACTGCTACAGGGTCATGAACACCAACTGGAAGATAATAAAAGGAAAACTAAACACTGTAAATCTCAACTCCAAGTCAGCATGACTTTGAGACCAGGAATAGGCTCCTACATCACACCTTGTCTCTGTGGATCTGTTTATAATCCAGGCACAAGCCACTCCAGGGACTCGAATGCAAGACACATATGGGGAGTCACATTCATGCAGGTACCACAGACTCACAGAAAAACCAGGCAAAGCTATGTGTCTGTAGCACAGGGGAGGAACTTCCTATCAGTGTCACCCTAAGAGCATCCTCCAAGTGCAAACTGCAGACCCTTAGAGCTATGTACCAAAAGACTGTCCCTCAACTCCTGAAATTGTGGACCAGTTCTATCTCCCAGCAGGCAGAGATGAATTTAACCAAACTCCATACAGTTTTCACGCAGCTTTTCAATGCCTTGAATCTATTGAGAAAGATATCTGGTGCTGTTCTGCCCTTTCTCAGGTTGTGTAAAATGGGCAGGCTGCTTCTACCAATTTCTTACAAACACAGTGTTCTTTCTGGAACATGCAAGTCTGACTTTTTTAAAAAGGAATTTTGAACTCAAAGCAGGAAGAAATAAGCCATGCCTGTGTGTAAGCCTCACAGCATGCTGCCAACCAACATTTTCCCTTAAAGCTGTACAATGGCATTCAAAACACATCTACAAACAGACCCTACCGGAGATAAACCACCTAGCTAAGACAACAGTGCACACATTTCTCCCTAGGAGTAAGCAGGAATCTTGCTTTGCAAAGCTGCTGAGGGTGGCAGGTTTGGTTTGGTTTGGTTTAACTAAAGCTCCGACCCTCTCTAGGCAGTGCACTTTGCGGAGGGAAAGTAAATAGGCTGGAAAAAACCCAGAAGCTTGCAGGGGGGAACCTGCAGGGAAGCAAGTTGCAATGTAAACAGGGAGGCAGAGCAGGGCTGGGGGTCAGGAGGGCAGGGCTGGATCTGGTGGGGGAACACAGGTACAACCCCTGCCCTGCACCAGGGTGGAGGCAGGAAAAGAGGGCCAGGAGCCACTTTCTAAAAAGGAAATTTCACCCTGCCCAGGATTTCCAAACTGCAATAATTTTCCATGGGCCAATCAGGGAGGAGCGAGGCAAACGCACCAAATTAGGAAAGTAAATACTAGAAGGGGGAGAGGGAGGAGGAGGAGAGCCCAGCTCATGCAACCACCTCCCAAAGCCAGTGATGGGAAAGGGGTGCAGGTCCCACTGTAAGCCCCTGCCAGCCCACCCAGATCTGCCCTTGGCAAGGGGGAAGAGAACACTGCGCCAGCCTCACCCACCACTGTGAAGCCACCAAGATGGCAGGGAGCTGCCCTGAAGCCAGATGGCCAGAATGCATAGCTACATGCTCCCCAAAGAGCATTCCCCTTCTCGGGCAGAAATGCCCAAATCATTTTCCACAGCCCAGTCCACAGGGTACAGGGCTGCAGGACCCTGCCGGGGGAGAGGGGAAGGCTGAAGGGGCTGAGCAGGGTTGTTTACAAACGCATCAGCCCCTCCTCTGTAAGAGGAACTCGGAAATGAAAGGGGTTTGGCAAGTGAAACCTCAGATGTCTTTTGAGGTTTTCTGAAGACTTGGCTGGATTAGCTTCTGCTCAAGACAAACGGATGCAATCATTAATCACCCTTAGTAAACACTCCGTTAGGGGCTGAGCACAATTCAACACTGCTATTTCCACTTTCTCCTTATGCAAAAGAAACATTCTCAGGGAGTCAAATATCAGTTGCAGGCATATGCCAGAGTCAAAAGATACAGCCTCTGTTAGTAACAGAAACCACACTGTGCTGCTTTGCGCAAGATGACTGAATGGAAACTAACTACCATATGTTGGCAAAGAAACCATCCCCCTCCCCTCCCAGCAACAAGCTTCATCTAAAAAGAGAAGGTTAAATATAAACTAAAAGCAGTGCCTGAACAGAGGACTATAACCACAGCTACCTCCAGCCCCCTCTTTCTAGAATATTTGCACTGCACATCTGTGCAGCTCTGCAAGACCAGGGGAAAAACCCAAACAAGCAAGCGCCTACAGATCTATGCAAAACCAAACTGGCTTCATTGTGACACTGCAGTTGTTCTCAGCCACGTGCATTTGAATATTACTCACTGAATTAGTGCTAACTGTCAGAAGAGGTTTGTGTATTGTACCTTTTTACAAATGTGCAGACAAAAAAACAAAACCAAAGGCTATTACTGTTACCAGGTACACTCTTGCTATTCTGAGGCTTGCACTTCTTAAACTCCAATACATCATCCTATACCATGAGTCTGCTTTACTTTAAAAAAATTATTATACTTCAGGTAACAGCTTTTAACATTAAAGAGGTTACTGCAACTCCATAACATTATCTCTTCGCCAAAAAAAAAAGAAAATATTCAAGACAGTAACTTGATGTCTCGGTTTTTTTCTATTGTATGTTGACAAATCAGGTAGCTTACAAAACAGGATACTTGCACAGATGTCCATTCAGATTGCTACAGCCCCTCAGTACATGCTCAGCATCCTACCCCCATTTCCTTCTATTCCCAGGAAGTCACGTGCCAATGGCCACCCTTGTCCCTAACTTCAGATAACACCGGCACCACCCAGCAACAACAGAATATTATTCAGATAAAAATAAAACAGGCAGTCCTAGCATAGAAAATATTTGCCTGCTTTCTTTTCTCCATGCATATAGGTAGCTCTTGACAGATATTTCCAATTCCACTGCCAAAGATAGACTAGTAACTCTATAGTGGGAAACTAACACCCAAGATCCCCCCTCAACCCTCTGAGCTCTTAAACAAAGCCCTTGTGCCCTACTTGCAGCCACCATAACACAGTTTTTAGGAGTCTTCCGTCATTCTGAACATCAGATATTTAACTAGTTATTTTTAATGAAGCATTTCAAGCACTGAGTATGGCAAACAAACAGGGCTTGACAGACTGGTGTCAGAGACTAAAGACGCCATTTCCAGAAAGCACACTTTGGATAGTCAACATCTTACCTGATAGTGCCTGTGGGGGACGGGAGGGGACTGACCACACTCCGGAGATCCGGCTCCGGGATGTGGATCTTCAGAGGCGATATTTGAGGGTAAAGTGGCCGAAGGGGAGGCGATGAGGCTTCCTCTTTTGCTTCCTCTTTATGGTATAAAGATGTGAATTGGATCTTTATAACCGTGCTAGGGAATCGGAAAGTACATCTGTAAGAGAAAGAAAGGGAAAAGTCAGTTTCACACGTGATACTAAACATATTGAAGTGTTTTTGTATGCAATTGGCAAATCATTAACTTATTCATAACACACAAGTCCACCATTCTCTATAGCATCTTTCTGCCCAGAGTCCTTGGCAGAATTACTGATCACTCACAAATCTGTGTACGTATCATAGTGTATCATGTATCATCTAGTGATTAGACACAAGCTGAAGGTTTGGGTAAGCTAAGTGATTTCCCCAATGCCTCGTACTCAATCAATGACTAAGATGCAGAGCTACAACAACATACTCTTGAGTTCCTGCTATATCAAGGACTAGGATTTACCTTTTATTAGCTCCTTGCACATAACTCAGGAAGATACAACCTACTAGAAAGTATCAAACAACCAGCAACATGGAACAAAAGAGCCATAGAGTCCAGCCAGAGCAACAAACAGCCTCCAGGTAGGACCAGACAGCACTATTTAAAGACTGGCCTCTACATATTGTATAACTAATACCCATTTATATCTGCGCATGACGCTAAAGGATCATCTAGCAGGTTTCAGATTAAAATACATTCATTTAGAAGTGCCTCCCTTTAGACAGCATGGGTTATAGCTAACAGGCTCAGAACAGGGCCCCTGCAATTCTACAGGGTCTCATTTCTTCTCTAAATAACACTTCTTTCCAATTGTTATTTAGGGAAAAAAAATAATCACATCTACAAGTGTAGCCTTCAGGAGAAGCTGGGAAATTCAAAAGGAAATAAGCACTGACATTTTCCATATTTGAACAAAAACCTTTCTAATTTATAGTGTCTACAATAGGCACAGGGCTGTAAGAGTGAGTGTTCTGCAATACTTACTGCGCTTTAATTAGACAATAATGTGCAATCAATACAAGCTTTCCAGGGATCATTTCACTGATACTAAGGTTAAAAAAGCAGGAAATAAAAACCAGGTTTTACCATGGGAAAGGCCAGCAGAGCACAGTAATTGCGCTGGCTTCCAGCATCTTGCCTGTAGAAGGAAATGAAGGGACTTGGGCAGTGTTGTTCCAGCACTGTAAGTGCTGGTGTAGGCTGAACATAATTCTTTTAACCACTGCATTATCAAATCCTGCCAGGTAACAGAACAAGGTGGCAGGAAAGTAAATCCATATTTGTGACTACCTCATCTTAATGCTGCTATTGACAAACATCCTATCACAGCTCTGAAAATGTACTTTCTTGCTCTTAGTTGTCCCACACAAGCTTGCTCTGCTGTAAGGTAACATTCAGAAGCCTCCTGGGAAGAGTGCAGAATTATCATTCAGGCATGGGAGGCTCATTCCCATCTCCCACCTCATCTCTGAAAGGAGCTGGCTCAGCATTCAGCTGCTCGGGATCACAACGGCTCTGCTACATACGGCAGGAGTTTGCATTGCATTTAATTCACTTCAGAGGTCCTGCCACCTGCATTCATTAATGCATTAAATAAGAACATCATTGCTGGCAATACAGCCTAATTGTGTTTATCTAACCCTTCTAGACATGGTTCCCTGCAGACTCAATGCAAACACACAATCCAAACCAGGAGAGCATCCATGCCTTGCAATGTCTGCCAGCAGCAGGCACGCAGCTTTCTGAGATGAACCTGAAACAAGGCTGTTCAACCATGACTTTGGATTTTATGCTTTTGTACTGTTATGGGGATTGGCTTACAGAAAAAGGCAGAGAACACATACATTTGCAATGAGCATCATATGGACTAAGGCTCGATACCAGTATGAGCAAGGCTTCATAATTTCTCACGCCCTTGCCAGGAAAAAGCTGAGCTTTCTTTCCTAGAGGGATGGAATTCTCTGCTGTAACACCAGGTGCTCAGCATTTTTCAACATCTGAGTCAAGGACAATTCTGTTCGTGTTTAACAGCGTTCAGCGCTATCCCAACCTGCTGCTGATCTCAACAGCCCTGACTGCACAGAGCCCTAAGGCCGTTTTGCAGCACTGCCGAGGCCAGATCCCCACTGCAGCTTCACACCAGTGAGGAGCTCTATCCCACTCCCTGTTAAGTCTTCCTTTCAGCAAGACCAAATCCACATCTCCTACACATTACTGCTTCCAGGTGAGGGTGCAGTTAACTCCTCAGCTCTACTATACTTACCAATGCTGTAACAGTGTCAGATAAGAAGTTGATACTGGCACCCAAAACACTGTCTCATCAGTCTGCAAGTATGGGCATATTAACAAAATTTCTTACTTTTCTAAAATCGTGAGTCAACCTGAAATATGAAGTCTAAACTAATGCAGTAAACGTGTGCTGAAAAGGCCCATCCAGCATTGCTTTTCCTTGAGAGCCTTCCCAAAGCTATCCGATCCAGCCACGTGACTTACCCGCAATCTTAGACTGGAATGAGGGAAGAGAAACAGAGGCTGGGCTGACTACATAAGCAAACAATCTGTTGGCTGCTGTAATTTCATTTTTAGAAAGACAGGCTGCCCAATCCACCGAAGCAGAACCCAGGACATACAGCTAGCTTTCACACATTATGCTAGCTAGCACATACAGGGCCATTTTGCAAGGAACCAGTTCCAGAAAAATCAGAGTGTGGATATACACAAGGGTGCTCACAGATTTAAAAGGATTCTCCAGCCTGGTCTGTGCTGGCTTCCAGTACTGACACTGCCTGCAAAGCCAAGGTGGGGACAATTTATCCGAATTTATGCTTTTACTGCTGTAAAAACCTGGGACCCAAGAAATGGAAATACAATGCAAAATAAGATCGTAAATTCCTGCAGAACTCCTCCCCTCCCTCAGGGCTGAGAAGGTGCCTGGGATGAACATTATTGTTCCGATCTCTATCGCAACCACCACAGTAATGCAAACAGTGACAGCAGCACAGCCCAAGACAGGGCTTCAAGTCAGCACACCCACTAATACTGGGGAACTGTGTCAACGAGTAATCAGACAAGAATGATTTCCGAATCACCTTGTCATGGGAAGCTCACTTACACAACCTGAATGCAGTTTTAATGAGCTTTTCTGACTGTTTCCTTAATTAACCTCTTTCTGACCAAGAGAGGATAAACTCATATCAGGTAGTCCTATTTAGGAGTGAGGAACATCAGCATAGGATTTAAGCCTATGAGAACTATACTTCTACAGAAGGTAAGCAGGACAAGACAGCCCAAGCTGAACTGAGCAAGCATTACTTCAGATTACAGTATATTTTTCAAGTTATATAAACTGAGTCATTCTATTTGATCCATGTTGCATGATTCCTATCACAGATGCACAGTAATTGGTAGCACTGCTTAACATTTCCAGCATGAGAAAAAGATCTATCCAAAAGCACATATTATACTCAACATAAAAAGCATAATGAAGTTAACTGGTATTTCCAAGGGTGCCCAAGAGGCAACCCATTTAAGCACCTCTGAAATTTCCAGCTGATTACAGAGGGGTAAATTAATGGTCTGCAAAATCTCTTGGTTCTGGTACAGGCAGGAAGCAACCTGCTTCAGTTCCAGAACTGCTGAGTTTTACTCAATAACCTGCTACAGACAGGTACACCCTGCAATCCTTGGCCACACAAACTGTATATATTGTACTCATTAAATACATCTCAATTCCTTGTGGGAAAGGATTCTCATTTCTCTAGGATGCCGTGCAAGGCAGTGAGAATAGAAAGCTTTTTTTTTTAGTTTCTGTTAGAACCAAAAACACATACACCCCCCCAACCTCCATAAACCGCACAGAAACAATTCTTGCCTTATGAGAAAACAGGCAGGAGAAAGAAAACAGATTTCTGTCTGCCTGCTGCATGCTTGAGTTCAAACTCCATAGCACTCACTGAATGCATGCTATATATACATAGGGGACCCAGGA